CTTAAATAGAATACTACTGTGAGTTTCTTATATTATTATTAAAATACCTGTCCCAGAAATTAGACAGATTCTGCAGGCTATATTCAAGGTAGCCATTAGGCACTGGGTAGGGCTCTATTTTTTCCCCCAAAACTTGGAGTAAATTGTATAAATAGCATTCAAACCATTAAGACATTGAGGAATAGTGAATGTTTTATTGCCACTGAAAAGAGCTTCAAAATGACGATGAATTTTTGTTTTAGACCTGCTCTATCGCCCAGGCTGGAGTACAATGGCGCGATCTCAGCTGTCCGCAGCATCTGCCTCCCAGGCACAAATCATCTTCCCACCTCAGCCTCCTGAGTAGCTGGGACTATGGGAAGACACCTCCACAGCCAGCTAATGTTTTTGTATTTCTGGTAGAGATGGGGTTTCACCATGTTGCCCAGGCTGGTCTTGAATTCCTGGGCCCACGTGGTCTTCCCACCTCAGCCTCCCAAAGTGCTGGGATTACTGGCATAAGCCACTGTACCTGGCTGACAATGAATTTTAAATAAGGATGTTTCTGAGTTTATGTTGTATCTCTTTTTTTTTTTTTTTTTTTTTTGAGACAGAGTTTCACTCTTGCTGCCAGGGCTGGAGTGGAGTGCAATGGCGCGATCTCAGCTCACTGCAACCTCCGCCTGCTGGGTTCAAGCCTTTCTCCAGCCTCAGCCTGCCAAGTAGCTGGGATTACGGGCACCCGCCACCACGCTCAGCTAATTTTTTTTGTATTTTTATTAGAGACAGGGTTTCACCATACTCATGCCTGTAATCCCAGCACTTTGGGAGGCTTAGGTAGGCAGATCACCTGAGGTCAGGATTTCGAGACCAGCCTGGCCAATATGCTTTATCTCTTTCTGGGACTTTGACATAAGAAGAGATTTCCAAAGGTTGTATTCTGCTAATGTAGTCTGGTATTTGAGAATGAGATATACCAGCGCTCACATTTTATAAGGATGACTTCATCCTTGATATTTGCTACCCCAAACATTGCAGTCTCAAGTGCATGCACAAAAGAAGGGCCAGTTTTTAGTGACTACCCTACCCTATCACCATATGGACCTTCTCATGCTTGAGAGTGCCACTGGTGGCCATCTACCTTTCCTTGTCAGTATACATTTGGGGGATACAAATATAATTTTGTTACATTGATATATTGCATAGTGTTGAAATTAGGGCTTTTAGTGTATCCATCACCAGAATAATGTACATTGTACCCATTAAGTAGTTTGTCATCATCCACCACCCCCAACCCTTCCAAGTCTCCATTGTCTATCATTCCATACTCTATGTCTATGTGTACACATTATTTAGCTCCCACTTATAAGTGAAAACATGTGTGTACCCAATTTCTTTTTTCTTTTTTCTTTTTTTTAAGACAGAGTCAAAAAAAAAAAAAAGAGTCTTGCTCTGTCACCCAGACTGGAGTGCAGGGGCACGATCTCGGCTTGCTGCAACTCCTGCCTCCCAGATTCAAGCAATTCTCATGCCTCAGCCTCCCAAGTTGCTAGGATTACAGGCCTGTGGCACCGCACCAGGCTAATTTTTGTACTTTTAGTAGAGACAGGGTTTCACCATGTTAGCAAGGCTGGTCTCAAACTCCTGGTCTTAAGCCATCTACCTGCCTCGGCCTCCCAAAATGCTGGGATTATAGACATGAGCCCTTGCGCCCAGCTGGTGTGTACCAAATTTCTGATGTTAAAGGAAAGGCAGTTATTTGTTCCCTGAAAGTTGAGCATAAAAAGAAGAAATAAGCTTTAGTTTCCAGTGGTTAAGGATTTGAAAAATAGTTACTGGTAGTTCAGTTTACTTTGCTTTTTAACTCTGCCTCTTCATGCTGATCACATACAGGTTATCTCTATCTTGTTACTGGAATTGGATCGTTTCTCATTGGCTTAATTAAATTTATTGCACAGGAGGAGTCTTCCTGAAACATTTAAGCTATACCTGATTTATTAACTATGGCTCTGTCATTTTCTTATAAATTAATTAAGAGTTTGATCTACCGTTCCTCTTCTGAAAAGAAAACAGTGTTTCTCTACCTTTTTGGTAGAAGAGTTATTTTAAAAAACAGCTATTATTTGTCTCTTTTTTCAACCTGGCAAAGCACAGTATATACATATTATTTGTTTTATCTCTAACCAAATTTAATTGCCTTGGAATGTTACTTTTTACATTTAGTTAAGAAGCGGGGTCAGGGGACAGCAGCAATGAAAAACACAGGAATTCCTTTCTGGGATGAAACGGGAGTGAAAGGCGTCTCAAAGGTCTGACAGTGTAACTCCCAGACCCAAGCCTCCCTGGAAAATAGAAAATGCAAAAGAAGATTAGAGCAGAAGACTAAATGTGGAACAATTTGGGATAAATAAAATCTGACGGTCCTGGTGAGAAAGCAATTAAGAAAGCTAGAGAAGGTGTCTAGAGCCCCATTTAATTTACATTTCATTGAATAACAGGAGAATGCTTATTGTGAGACTTGTTAAAACTTGTATTTTGTTGGTAAAGTTTATCCTCTATTTCCCCTTTGTGATTTGTAATAGTAACCCTTAGAAAATTTCAGAATAGGCCGGGCACAGTGGCTCACGCCTGTAATCCTAGCACTTTGGGAAGCCGAGGCAGGTGGATCACAAGGTCAGGAGTTCAAGACCAGCCTGGCCAATATGGTGAAACCCCGTCTCTACTAAAAATACAAAAATTAGCCGGGCGTGGTGGCGGGCGCCTGTAGTCCCAGCTACTTGGGAGGCTGAGGCAGGAGAATTGCCTGAACCCGGGAGGCAAATGTTGCAGTGAGCCAAGATCGTGCCACTACACTCCAGTCTGGGCGACAGAGCGAGACTGTGTCTCACAAAAAAAAAAAAAGAAAGAAAATTTCAGAACAGCCAATGTTTATTCCAGGGACTGGATAAAAAGGGAGAAGCCTGTGCTCTTTTCTGCATTTAGCTGTGATAAACAGAATCTCTGATCTGAGGCAGTAACTGATGTCAGTGCAATAGGTAGCCAGCAGGTCAACTCCTGTCCCTAAGGATTTATACCAGATGAAGGTCTTGTGGAAACAGGAAAGGATAGAGAAGCAGGCAGTGAAACTACTTTAAGACTTCAGTGACAGTGCTGCTCCCTCAGTGCCATCCCTCTACCCCACTGCCTTTCTCCTTCTTAAGCTTTTGTTCTAAATAATTTCCTAGAGTCCCAGTAACCCTAAGTGTTATCTCTCTGCTCATTCTAGGCCCCTTTCCTTCCAGAACCCTTGAAGTTTGAGTTTACATTTTTGCAAGGATGCCAGGGATTAGTCCAGTTAGTAGGTCAAGCTTCTAAGGGTTAAACGAGTGGAGGGAGACTTTTTACCTCTACCTGTGGGGTCTTCCCAAAATCTGATGAATATGCAGAGCCCAAAGCTGAGTCTGGAAAGTCAGAGAGGCCTGTGAACATATTCTAAAACTAAGGACTCCAAAAATAGGTCTTAAAAGCCAGGAATCAAGGGTTAGGGGAAGAGAAAAAGAATTGCAGGTTTAGAATAAGGGGGCAGCAGACCTGGAAATTGCCAAGAAGCAGCATTATAGCTTAATAGCATCAGAGTAATGGGAGGATCGGCTGGGGGTGGATGATGTGTGCGAAGAGACCAGGAAAGGTGCAAAGTTCCTGTTGCCTATCAGTCTGAGGAGGAGAAATAAATGTATTCCTGACATCTCACGTTGAGATTTAGAATACTTTTCTCTCTAGAAAAAAAATACATACTGGATTAGATTTCTAGGCTAGCCTGCTAAAATAGTTTCCTCATAATGAACTTGAAATACAGATTCTAAGTATCATGAGAAAAATCTTGGTAGAAAACAGTGGGTTATCAAATGAACTTTCGAATTAGTTTCCACTAATAAGAGGGGAATCACCTATCAATTAGAATTAAAGAAGAGTTAGCCATACTTTAGTATTTTATCATGGCTTACACATATTTATTAAGATTATTTACTATTCTTTAAAAAGTTTAAAAAATAATAGTAACACTTTTGAAGAGCATTGATTAATTATTTTATCAAATATCCCTCAATTTGTCTTATCTGATATTTTCTCATAATTGGAATAAGGTTTTGTATTTTTGGCATGAAAACTACAAAATTATGTTTTCTTTTCAGTATGTTGTATCAGGGTTCATAATATTGTTATGTGTTATTATTAGTGATGTTTACCTTGATTATTTTATTACATTTGCCATCTACTAGGAAATACCTTACAGGTTGGAGGAGACTTAGGAGAAATAACTAAATGCAATGTGGGTTCCGATAGGAACCTAGAAAAAGGACATTAGTGGCAAAATTGGTGAAATTAAAATAAGGTCTGAAGTTTAGTTAACAATATTCCAATGTTCCAATTGGTTCCAAGTACCAATGTTCATTTCCTGTTCTAGATAATTGTACTGTGGTCATAAAAGATGTTAACATTGGGGAAGAGGAGTGAAGGAAATAAAGGTACTATCTGTACTGTTTTCTGTAAATCTAATATTAACTCAAAATAAAAAGTTAAAAAATAATGCTATGTAACACTTACATAGTGCTTCCTATTTACCACATGTACTCTGCATCTATTAACTCTGGTTCCTTTCAACAACCCTGTGAGGGGAACTGCTGTTATCTCCATTTGTCATATGAGGAGACCTAGATACAGAGAGGTAAGAAGCATGTCCAGTGTCACATGGCTGTGAATTGGTCACATAGCTAGAAAGTGGCTGAGTTGGGATTTGAACTGAAGCACTTTGGATCCAGAAATCAATTACAGCGTACTGGCTTTCAATGTGCTATATATGCACATAGTTTAAAAAGATTCAGTTATACTCTTCTCTGAAGCAATCTCTGTTACAAGTTTTTGGCTTTTCTTTTAATCCTTCAAGGAAGAACTTACTTTCGAACATTGATAGGAAGGCAACTCACTTTGGTTTTAATTTGCAATATTCAAAGCTATGCTATGGCCGTGTTTTAGTCTCCCTTCAGAATCTTCTCATGGCGTGCTAACAATTGTAGATAGCAACTGTGTTGGAAACTAGGGAATCCCATCTGAGTTGGTCAAAGTCTGCGAGTAAAGTGCTAATTGCTCATAACTACTATGTTATGATTAAGTACAGTATGATTAAGTAGACTCAAACTTCATTCGGAATTTAACCAAATTCTGCAGTTGCTCTCCTGAGTACTTTGATTAGTATGAATGCTTTTTTCATTTTACTATTGAAATTACATTTTTTAACTCAAAAACTGCCAGCTGTTGTAACAATGGCTTTGTTTGTAGTCTTTAAAATTGAAGAAAGAGTACGACGTGAATTACTATATATTAGACCTTTGAGAGTCTGAATGAATTGCTTGAGTTTGTTCTGATTAGTGTACCTAATGTAGAGACTGAGCTTCCTTAAATTGCCAGAGGTGTAAAGTTTCACAAGGTACTGGTTGCTGTAAAGGAAGACTGACTTTGAGTTAAATAGAAAGTTGATAAAAATGCATATATTGACAGTTACTGACTCAGTAAGCTTTATAATTCTAGGAATCACTGCTGATTCATATGTTTAGATATACTCATTTCTATCTTTCTGTTTCCTAGGCCAAAAAGAAAAAAGAAAACCAATATTTAAGAGGTGAGAAAAGTAACAGGAATTTCCTATCTATTTATACACATACACACAAACACAAGCCTGTAGCCTTTGCTGCAGAAGCAGCTTGTCTTTCGTTCCATAGTTAGGGCATTTTTTTTTCTGTGCGTTGAATTAAAATTTGTAAACAGCAGGAATTGTGGCTTGTTAAAAGAAAAACCTTAGACAAATTAAATTTAGTAGAGCTTAATTGAGCAAAGAATGATTTGTGAATCGAGCAGCCCCTGAAACAGAATAGAGAGGCTCCAGAGCTGCTGTGTGGTGAAAGAAGAGTATGGATAGAAAAAGGAAAGTGATGAAGAGAAAATGGAAGTGAGGTACAGAAACAGCTGGATTGATTACAGCTTGAAGTTTGCCTTATCTGAGCATAGTTTGAATAGTTGGCTGCCCTTGATTGGCCGAAACTTAGTGATTGGCACAAGAGTAGATTACAGTCTGTTTACACATCCAGTTAGGTTACAGTTCACTGTGTATGAAGAAACCTTTAGGTTATAGTTCACAAGGTATGGAGAAACCTTTAGATTGAACTTAAACTGTATAAAGAGACAGCTTTAGGCTAAACTTAATTTAACAGACTTTTCGGTTGCCTTTGGATTGGTGGGGCAGGGGAAGAATCTAATAGCAGATATTTGCTTTGGAAGGTCCAAAGATCAATTTTGTTTTCTTGCTGTCTTCTTGTTATTTTCTCTTGTTTTTTTTTTTTTTTTTTTTTTTTGCATAAGCTTTACTTGCCTCTCCAGTCCTTTTTTCTATCTTTACTTTTTGATTGACTATAATATGGAATTGAATTTTTTAAAAAAATCTGTAAAATTTATTTTTAAAAGTTTATTTCTTGGTCTTGCATTTAAAAGGCTGTGAATTGAACCTTTCTTCTTTCTTTAACTTAAAAAAACCTGTAATTAAGTGGCTTTTTGCTTAAATATGTTCTCAACTGATTTTTCTCCTTGTAGGTACCTTAAAGGAAAAAGAAATGTACTTTCAGTACTCTCATTACATATTCAGGCAATCCCAATTTGTATGGACAACTCAATTGAAGTAACAAGTGACTCTGACAATTTAGAGAAATGAATTAGTAAAGTTTAGTAGCGTTAAGCACAGGAGGATTTACTTACGAGAAAAAGCAGGCAAACTTTATAAACACAAGTTGGAGAACTATCAAGTTCGTACATGTCTGACAGAGATGAAGAATACAGAATAAACCACTGGCCAAATATAAGTTAGATATTTAACACTAACACATAAAATTAGCAAAGAGGATGTTGTGGGTTTATATGGAAGAAATCTGTTTGTGAGTCACTGGTTAGGAAATCAGAACGTACTTTTCTATAGATGTTAAATGGTGAGAGTCATTGTTCAGCCTGAGAGGTCCCTCCAGGGCAAGGAACCTTGTCTGATTTATCTTCCATCTCACCCTGTTGCCTGGCATGGAGTCAGGTCTTAATAGACTCATTTCCGTAGTTCTTGGCTTATAAAGTCTAATTAACATATAAGATACCCCAAATTCAAGCCTTTGTCCTGTTTTCTTCTTAACCTACTGATGTCAGATATTATTCTATTTTGGAACATAATACTGTTGTGGAATATTGTGGAATCATAAGTTACTGATTAAGTTACTGATATCGTAAGTACATTGGTAATATATAACCAAACCCAAAGAACCCTTTTTATTTCGTATCAGTTTGATTTCTTCTGGCCTGTGACAATCAACTGTTTTCTCTCTCATAAAAGCCTCATGAAAATCTCTTTTCTTGAGGCTTCTTATTCTCCCTCTCAATCTCCTTCTTGGAATCTTACCTCTCTCTGCACCTAAATGCTAGTGTTCTTTAGGGTATTATGCTCTCTATCTGCAAGCTTACACACCTATTGGCTAACATGGTAGGCAGAATAATTATTCCCCAAAGATTTCCATGCCCTAATTCCTGGAATCTGTGAATATGTTATATTACATGGCAAAAGGAACACTGGACTTATACTTATGGACCTCAAAATACATATACATATATATATTGGGTGGACCCAGTGTATAACATGGGCACTTAAAAGTGGAAGAGGAAGACAGAGCAGTCAGTCAGAGAGACGCAGGGGAAGAGGCAGGAGGTATTTGAGTATGAGAGAGATTCCACTTGCTGTTGTTGGCTTTGAAGATGGAGAAAGAGGACCACACACCAAGGAATGTGGGTGGCCTCTGGAGTCTGTGAATAACCCTCAGCTGACAGCCAACAGGGAAACACAGGTCTCAATCTTAAGTCTTCGAGGAACTGCATTCTGCTAACAACCTGAATGAGCAAAGAAATTGATTCTCTTTTAGACCCTCAGAAAGTAACTTAGCCCTGTCAACACCTTGATTTTAGCCTACAGAGATCTATGTTAGGCTTATGATTTGGGAACTTTAAGATAAGAAATGTGTATTATTTTAAGCCACTAAGTCATGATAATTTGCCACAGCAACAGTAACAAACTATTGCAGCTAATGACTCTCAAATTTAAATTACTATCTCAGATCTTTCTATGAACTATAGTCAGTTGCCTATTGAATAGCTTCTCTACAGTATCTGGCTGGGACCTCAGACTCGTTACATTGAGATGAAACTCTTTTCCCTAAAACCTGCTCATATTTTTTTCTTGATGTTGCTCCTAACCATTCAGACTCCTTAGCCAGAAATCTGGGGGTCAGTATAAACTCCTTTTCTCATATGCTATTTCTCTACACATCCCTACTCTATATAATTGATACCAAATCGTTTTGATTTGGAGTTTATCACTGATTTAGGTCAAGCTCCCACCACTTCTCACTTGGATTTATCAGGTAATCTCCCAACACATCTTCCTGCCTCTGGTTAAAATGTCTTGGTAACTCATTCTCGTGTTCTATGAAAGTGACCTTTTCAATCAGATTATGTTTCTCCTCTACTTCATGGTTTCCCATTGCCATTTCAGTAAAGTTCCAATTTCTAAGCATTGCACACAAGGCTCTTTATGATCTGATTCCGCTTTCCTCCTCAACTCATTGTGTTCCTTAAAACATACCATGCTGTCCAGCTGTATTAAATGGCTTGCATTTTCTTGAACATGTGCTATGTATGCCATCAGTACCTTGTACATACTTTTTTATCTGACTGGAAGGCCCTCCCTTCTTTGTTTCCCTAACTCCTACTTCTTCAGTCTTCAACTGAATTGTCACTTTAGTTAGGGGCTCAGTAAATGTTGGTTTAAAGAGTAAATGAGAAGAATGCCGAAGAATAAGGATTGTGAACCACTGAAGTGGATTTCTGCACGAATTTCTGGAGTCTCTTTCCCTAAAGGACAATTTTAGATGGCAATGTTTCTGAAATAGTTTGAGGGTAGCCTTTTGTCGGTTTTATGTAAATGCTAAGAAGAGAGCATTTGAGTTTGGTATTTGGAGTAGGAGTAGACAGGAACTCACTAAAGAGTTACTTCAGAAGAGAAAGTCATTATGGATGATGGTCTCATGTTCTTATCTGCAAGAGGGATTACCCCTTTTAGTTTTGCTTCCTATTTTTTAAAAGCTAAGATTTCCTGTTCCAGAAAGAGTGAGCTTACATTAAAAAGCATTAAGTATCTTTAGTTTTCTTTTAAATTTGACTTATGTTCTGATGATAGTTACTTCCTGGGGGTTTCCAACCTTGGGAAAAAAGTTAATAACATTTTTTTAGGTTTATTATAAGAACTATAGTTTAATCAATATAAAATGTACAGCGCCTTGTGTGTAATTAAGTAGTTAATAAAGGATATCTATAAATTGTTATAAATTATCATTATTGCTAAGCATTTAAAAATGATCCACCATTTTGCAGAGACTTAAACATCACCTATATCCAGAGTCCCTGCTGTGACATGTTAGGTCATATGTTTGAAAATGAATGGAAATGGCAATTAAGGAGGAGCAAGGAACAAGTTTTTGTTTCCATTTAGTTGAAGGAAGCTTATCAAGGAAGAATCTTTGCAGCTCTTAAGGACAGAAGATAAATAAATTGGTAGCCTTAGTGGAGACAAAGTAGAAAGAGAGATAAATTCACAAAGATGAGGAGGTAGATAATGAAGGAAATGAAAGGTAAGAGGTTTACTTTTGAGGAAAAGAAGGATGGATAGTGGAGACAGAAAAAAAATAAGATAGGCCGGCATGGTGGCTCATGCCTGTAATCCCAGCACTTTGAGAGGCTGAGGCAGGCGAATCACTTGTCAGGAGCTCAAGCTCAACTGGCCAATATGGCAAAACTCCGTCTCTACTAAAAATACAAAGATTAGCTGGGCTACTTGGGAGACTGAGGCACCAGAATGGCTTGAACCTAGGAGACGGAGGTTGCAGTGAGCTGAGATCATGCCACTGCACTCCTGCCTGGATAACGGAGCAAGATTCTGCCTAAAAAAAGAAAAAAAAAGAAAAAAAGAAAAAGGAAAGAAAAGAAATAAAAATAAAAATAATAAGATATATAATTGTGAGCTATCACAAGAATGCCATTAAAACTGTGTTAGTTGGGGGAACCGCGAGCTCCTCGCGGCTGGGTGGGGACCGTCCTGGCAGTGCAGTGGCGGCAATCTCGGCTCACCTGCAAGCTCCGCTTCCCCGGGTTCCACACCATTCTCTTGCCTTAGCCTCCTGAGTAGCTGGGACTACAGGTGCCCACTACCACGCCCAGCTAATTCTTTGTATTTTAGTAGAGATGGGATTTCACCGTGTTAGCCAGGATGGTCTCGATCTCTGACCTCGTCATCCGCCCGCCGCCTCGGGGCCCTCCCTAAAAAGTGGTGGGTGCTGGGGTCCTGCGTCGTTTAACAGGTGTGGAGCCCCAACGCGTGCGCGGCCCTCCCACATATAAATTTTATTAATCAAGAACAGGAACTATTAGCAATCAACCACTTTTTTGCCATGAGAAACT